ACACACACCACTGCAAACCAAGCACCACAGATCGACGCACCACTGTACCACAGATCGACGCACAACGCACCATAGATCATCATGGGGGCATTGCGGTGCAGCTCGAGGAGTCCTCCGGTGGCACCTTCTTGTCTTCCGACAGCAGTGGGGAGAAATTATTGGTAGAGAGGGGGAGAGAGAGTCGAGGTAATTGAGAGAGAGAGAGAGAGAGATATGGAATTGAGATTTATATAATTAGGGTTTGAAATTGTTTAGTTAAGTTTTAAATATATAAATTAATTAAAAAAATTCTGATTTGTGAAATACTAAACATGATATCTTATTTATGAAATGAGAATTTTTAATCTATTAAAATATATAATTTTCACTTTACGAAATCTCTAATTGCTGCCTCAATGTTTGACCTCCAAAACAATACCCACCCGTGTTTAATCTTCAAAGCAGCCGCATTGGTTGGGAAATTCCACCTAATTGGCAATCTTTTTCTTGTAGTTTTCTCCCCCTCTGTGAGCATATATATTGCAAATTCAGTCGCAATCAGTTTCCTCAAAGTGGCTGCCATTTTTCCTTTTTTTCCCCCCAAGGCAGCGGCCTTTTTCTACGTATGCATATATCCAATCCACTTCAACTAAAAAATAGGGAAAATTTCACGAAACACCAGTTAATTCATATTATTGTCTATTCTACATGCCACTGTATTCTTATTCTATAATTATACTACTTTTTATACAGTATTTTGGAAAACTGAAGGGGAGAACAAATAAGCAAGTGTATTAAGTTGGAAAACATCAATCACGTTCAATTCAATTCTCCCAATATTTTGCACTTTCCCAAAAAATCCATTTCATATTCTTCTGTCTCCATCTTGCAAAAAACTAAACACCACCGTCCATTCAAATCCAAGATCCCCAAATCAATTAATCAAGAAAAGGGGTTAATTTACTACACAGATCGATCTCATTACCTCACATACCCATGGGCTCCGTCTATATCCCACTGTCGGAAGTTGAATGTCATAAGTTGGCTACCCCTTGACGGAAGTTGTCGCTAGCTTCCAAGTAATGCACGTTCTCCTTCGTGTCGAATTACACGATCTATGATCGTTCTGTCAGAATATAAGGAACAAGACCCCCCAGCCGTTAAAGAAGTGTTTAAAACCTCAGCCAATGTTGATAAAAGTGAGAAGAGGCCTCCTGACTATGTTGACGAAGAATCCTCTATGAAGAAGATGAAAATGGCGTTGCATTCGAACCCGAAAGAAGGAAATTCAACGTCTCACGTATTATTTTTGGGGATCTTTGAAAACTATGAATGTTAATATGTTAAATTTTGTTTGCTATCCTGAGGTTGACATTTTAGAGACAATGAATTACGTATCTATGCGATTTACGTGAAGTTCTTCTCCATCTCTCTCTGACCCTGCTTATTGCCTGTACCAAAACCATTGGATGACACACCGAAACCTTACACTACTGTGTGTGATATGTCATGTTTGAAGAGTTTGATATGCTAAAATTTACTTACATCTCTGTGATTGATTGTGAATATTAATTCTTCTTTTCTTATGATGACAACATATGCAATACAACCCGTGTTTGTAACCGAGTAACGTTAACATTTCTAACGTTACATTTCATCATTTGTACTTCCATTTTTTTTTTTTTTTTTGGTAATCTGCAATGTGCAGTGGAAACACATTTTACACTTGACTGTGATGTTTAGATTGCACACTGTCTACTAGAAAATGGAAATCAGCTGCAGGTGAGTTAGCTTGGGAGTCAGCAAAGCACGTACACTCCAGTACACATGGGCGACAAGCTGGACCATAGGTGGAGGAATAAATCTAGAAAGATGTAGCATATTTTCTGTTATGTGGTTTTCCTTTCTTAACAGTGTTGTTTATATAGATTCTTTTTCCAGCCTGCTGTATAGGTTTTCCATTAGGCTGGTACTCTTCTCATTCTATATATAGTGTGATCAACCTGTAAAGAAGTGAATATAGCAGATTCAATATCATGAGAAAATTCTCCCAAAACTCTTGCACTCCGCCTGCTCGATAGTTTTCTTCTTTCATTTATTTCTTCTTTTCTTATATGGTATCAGAGGCAGGTATGGCACAACTTGATTCTGCTAATCCAAATCCAGTTGAATCTTCAAACGCAAATATAAATCAACACCCAAATCCAATCTCGGTTGATCCCTCACAGCTAAACAGTCTATACTATATTGGAGCTTTCAAGAGTTTGCTGAGAGTTTTGAGGGGAGCAATTGTAGAGGAAAACGTTTTTTTGTATATGTGAATTTGCTCAAGAAATATCTGTACAGAATACCAATATATATACACACAATTTCACACCTACAACTAACTATTATACACATGCTACCAGCTATCACATGCTGCATAACAGAATAACAAATATTAGCTACATGATTCCTCTCTCGTTCCTTCTAGAAAATCCTTGGCTTCCTGCTGATGTGTCCCTTGTTGAGTGTATTGATGACTAATGCAATTTGCTAGCTCAGCTGCTTTGTTGTCTTCCAATAGCCCCCTTCAAGATGAAGAGTATATATCCATTACTCCCATCTTGTCCATACAGGAATAAAAACTCTGAGAGTTCAAAGCCTTTGTGAGGATGTCTGCTGTTTGTGATCTGCTAGGTACATGCTTTGTGATGATGCTTCCATCTTGAATTTTATCTCGTATTAAGTGACAATCAAGCTCTATATGTTTAGTCCATTCGTGAAAGACCGGATTTGTGGCAATGTGCACAGCAGACTTATTATCACAGTATAAGAAAGCAGCTTGTGGATGCGCTATCTGCAAGTCTTCAAATAAATATCGAAGCCATGTCAATTCACAACACAAATTTGCCATGGCTCTATATTCTGCCTCTGATGAAGATCTGGAAACAACATGCTATTTTTTTTGACTTCCAAGATACTAACGATTCACCAATAAAAACACAATACCCCGTAATTGATCGCCTAGTATCAGGGCATGAGCCCCAATCAGAATCACAATAACCATGTAGCTGCATCTTTGAATTTACTGGATAAAATAGCCCTTGGCTTGGAGCTCTTCTCACATATCTTAGAACCTTGTGTGCCATGTGCAAATCTGGTACTCGAGGGCTGCCCATAAATTAGCTTAACAGCTGCACTGAGTATGCAATGTCTGGTCTAGTTATGGTCAAATATAGCAATCTACCAATCAATCTCCTATAGAGTGTTGGATCAGGTAAAGTTCTCCCTCATCTTTAGTTATCTTCAGATTTTGATCCAAAGGGATCCTTGCAGGTGAGGAACCAATTGTTCCTGAGTCTCCTAAGATGTCAAGGGCATACTTCCTCTGACAAATATGAATACCCTTTCCAGACCTGGCTACTTCTATACCAAGGAAATATCTCAATCTTCCAAGGTCTTTGATTCTGAATTTGTCATGAAGTGAACCCTTTAGGTGGTTAATTGTTTCAATGCAATCACCAGCCACTATTATGTCATCAACATATACCAAGATAGCAGTGAAGGATCTCCCAGTTCTTCTAGTGAACAAACTATAATCTGCCTTGGACTGAACATATCCTAGCTCGATAATAAACTTGGAAAGCTTAGAGTACCATTGGCGTGATGCTTGTTTTAACCCATACAAGCTTTTCTTGAGTAGGCACACTTTCTTGCTATCATCATTCAAGTATCCTGGGGGCGGTTCCATATATACCTCTTCATCTAACTCACCATGTAAGAAAGCATTGTTAACATCAAATTGGAAAAGATTCCATCCTTTTATGGCAGCCATAGCCAACAAAGTTCTGATGGTGACAAGTTTGGCTACCGGTGAGAAGGTTTCATGGTAATCAAAGCCTTCTTGTTGTGTATAACCTTTAGCTACCAATCGTGCTTTAAGTCTTTCTATGCTACCGTCAGCATTGAACTTCATCTTGTATACCCATTTGCACCCTATTGCGTTCTTATCAGGAGGTAAATTAACTAAAACCCAAGTGTCATTATGTTCAAGAGCATCAATTTCTGCCTTCATGGCTTCACACCATTCTGGTAACTTTTTGGCTTCATGGTAGCTTCTAGGTTCTGATTGGGAAGTTACAGTAGTTATAAAAGTTTTAAATGGAGTTGATAGTCTTTCATATGAAATACTTGCACAAAGAGGATAATGCTTACCTGTGGAACTCTGTCCCTTTAATTTGTCAAACTCCAGAGATGGGTGAAGTAAGGCAGTCTGTTGGCATATGAAGTCCTGGAGGTATGTTGGTGCCCTTTGAGCTCTAGTAGACCTACGGGGTAAATGGCTAACAGAAGTCGTGTTTGATGGCAAATTAGAGTTATTTTGGGAGTCATCTGCAGACTTGGGTAGACACTCATTATGGTCAGAACTTTGTTGATTTTCTTCCAAAATTTGTGTGTTTTGAGACTCCATTTCTGGTGAATCATGACTGACATTTTTTTATAGGTGTGACAACAACTGTCTCATTGTGAAAGATGGGATTTTGAGTGAAATTGACATCGTTTAGGTCTGATTCCAGTTGAGTATTTCTGGTGGAATTTTCATTTTTGAAGGGAAAAATGTTTTCATAGAAGATCACATTTCTGGAGACAAATGTCTTCTTGGTTTCAATGTCCAACAGATTATATCCTTTGATTCCAAAAGGATACCCTATAAACACACATCTCTTTGCTCTAGGGTCGAATTTGTGTCTTCCATTAACAATGGTTGTAGCAAATGCCAAACAACCAAAAACCTTGAGGTGTAGATAGTTTGGTCTTTTATTGAAGAGGATTTCATAAGGAGTCTTGTCATTCAATACGGAAGATGGTGTCCTATTTATGAGATATACAACAGTTAGGATGCAATGGTTCCAATATTTTAGGGGAATTCCACTTTGGAATTTCAAAGCTCTAGCGGTGTTGAGGATATGTTGGTGTTTCCTCTCAACCATGGCATTTTGTTGTGGAGTCTCAACACAAGGTTTATGGTGTATGATACCTCATTTGAGATAAAAGTCTCTCATGTTGAATTCACCCCCATTATCAGTTTGAATTATCTTAACTTTGGTCTCAAATTGTGTTTCCACCATACGACAAAAGCTTTGGAGGGCAGCAGTTGCATCAGATTTCAGTTTTAACATATATGCCCAAGTACACCGACTAAAATCATCCACAATTGTTAAGAAATATTTAGAACCATCACTACCAACCTCATTACAAGGCCCCCATGTATCACAGTGTAATAAATCAGAACATTTTTCAGCTCTATGAACACTTACAGGAAAAGGAGGTTTATGCAATTTTGCTAATGGGCATATAGAACAGGGTGTGTCATTGGAAGATTTTGAAAAATGAATATCACCATCAATGTCACGAGTAGTACACGAGGAATGTCCTAGTCTATAATGCCAAATGTCTAGGTTTTGAACATTTTTAGTTATAGATGCTGAAACATAAGTGGATGGCAGTATGTTTAATTTAGTCAAGTGGTCTGATAAAGTTGAGCAGGCCACCTCCTCTCGCCTCATATGGTATAGTCCTTCCTTAACTTCACCCATGCCAATCGTTCTCCAAACTGAAAGGTCCTGGATATAACAACAATGAGGGAAGAAAATTAGGCAGCAATGGAGCATTTGTGATAATTTTTTGGTAGAGATCAAATTGTAGGAAAAATTGGGCACACAAAGAACATTTTGAAGAATCAAAGTATCTGTGATTTTTACTGTTCCTATGTGAGTAACAGGAACCTTGTTAACATTTGGTAGGGTAACCATGTATGAAACTTCTGCATGAATGGAAGTGAATAATGAGGTCGAACAGATCATATGATCTGTCACCCCGGTGTCTAGAATCCAAGGAACCTGTGAGATGTCAAGTGATTTTAGTTTAAAAGTAGACATGCACAAAGACATACCAGAAAGTTGGTGTATATTTTCATCAGTGGGGGAAGAAGTGGCAACGCCCTGAACATCATTTACTGAGTAGTTTGGATATTGGGAGCTTGTGGCTGGTTTGAGAAGAGCCATAAGGTGTGAATATTGCTCCTGACTTAATGACACTTGAGGTTTGTCATTCACCATTTCCTGTGCAGTGGGCAACGATGCAATGGATTGATTAGCTGATGGCCTATTCTTCCCTTCAACTTTGTGACGTAGTTGGTACCCATGTAGCTTGTAGCACTTATCTGCACAATGACCAGGAACTCGACAATAGGAGCAAATTGGTTTTCCTGGGTTAGCTTTGAAGCACTTCTCGACAGAATGTCCTGCAATTTTACAAAAGGTGCAAAAATAACCCCTCCTCTGTGCAGGTATGTTCTGTTTCCCTTTTTCTTTATAATTTCTTTTGGTGATAAGAGCCATAGACTCAGATGCAGCCCCTTGTGCAATGCCTTCAGTCGATATTTCCCTTCTTTTCTCTTCCTGTTGTATGATTGAATAGACCTCATTTAGACTTGGAAAGGGCTTAATCAATAGGATTTGTGCTTTGATTTCTCTATATGAATCATTCAATCCCATTAGGAACTTCATCACCCAGTCCCTTTGCAGATTTTGGACCACAGTTTTCAATCCCCCATAGCTGCAATTAGGAATGGCCTCGTAATTCATGAGTTCATCCAACAGAGTCTTCAGCTTGGAAAAATAAGTGCTTACAGGGTCTTGATTTTGCAGCAACGTGGTTATGGCCTGCTTAATTTCGAAAATTCGGGGCGCATTCTGCTGTGCAAAACGCTGCTCCAGCTCAACCCATAACTGGTGTGCTGTTTCCGCATAAGTAGTGTTGCACTTTATATCAATGGCCATTGTGTTCTGCATCTAGGTGATCACAATGTCGTTACAACGCAGCCAATGTTCCATCAGAGGGTCATTGGGATCTTCTGGCTCGCATATGCTTCCATCGATGAATCCTAATTTGTTCTTGATACGTAATGCCCTCTTCATGGATCGTGCCCATGAGTGATAGTTACTGGCATCCAGTGTGTGGCTAACGAGCAGAACACCAGTGCTATCATTGCTTCCTATGAAATATGGACTGTTTGGTTGAGTGGGATCATGAACAACAGTGTTTGGATTTTGGTTTGAATTTGAGTTCCCAGCATTTGAATCTTGGTTTTCAAGCTCTGATACCATTTCAAGAGTCGTAAAGTAGAAAAACTTTGTTGAGAATTTTGAGGGGAGCAATTGGAGAGGAAAACGTTTTTTTGTATATGTGAATTTGCTCAAGAAATATCTGTACAGAATACCAGTATATATATACACAATTTCACACCTACAACTAACTATTATACACATGCTATCAGCTATCACATGCTGCATAACAGAATAACAAATATTAGCTACATGATTCCTCTCTCGTTCCTTCTAGAAAATCCTTGGCTTCCTGCTGATGTGTCCCTTGTTGAGTGTATTGATGACTAATGCAATTTGCTAGCTCAGCTGCTTTGTTGTCTTCCAATAGAGCTAATGATAGCTCTGGATCCATACTCGTTACTCATGTATTGGATTCAAACCATTATCATTCCTGGGCACATGCGAGCAAAGAGCACTCAGGATTAAAAATAAGCTCGATTTTGTTGGTGGAAGCATTTTAGAGCCTAGTGATGCAAACAGTCCACTTATGGAGCATTGGTTGAGATGTAATGATATTGTAATCACTTGGTTGCAGAATACTATGGCAGTTGAAATAAAATGCAGCACCATGTATGCTGAAACGACACATTATCTATGGAAGGAACTTGAACAGAGATTGGCACAGCAAAATGCACCTAGGATTTTTGAACTCAAACAAAGTATTGCAAACCTGATGCAAAACGAAGATAGTGTAAATGTGTATTTCTCAAAGCTGAAAACTCTTTTGGATGAATTGCTAAATTATGAATCAGTACCCAATTATTCTTGTGGAGGTTTGAAGGTTGTGGTGAAAAACCAACAAAGAGATTAGGTTATGAAATTCCTAAGGGGTCTCAATGATACGTACAATGGATTAAAGGCTCAAATTCCCCTCATTAAGCCTTTCCTAAGGTTGAATGAAGTATACTCCATAATTCAGCAAGAAGAAAAGAGAAGGCAAATATCCACCGATTGTTCACTTGATAAAACTATGGCACTACTTGCTAAAGGTAACCTTGATGTGAGAACACAAAACCAATCCTCCCAGAAGAAGGATAGGTACTACTGCACCTATTGTAAGATAGCTGGGCATTCCCTTAAACGATGCTTCAAGGCTAATCCAAACAAACCAGCATGCTCTTATTTCCAAATGCCTGGTCATACAGTTGGAAAATGTTTTGAGTTACATGGGTATCCATCGGGGCACAAATCAGAAGGGAGAAACAAGCCATCAACATCATTTGCTAATCAGATTACTGCACTTATGCCTCTTGTCCAGGAACAGGTAAATAACAAAGCTCAAATCTCTTTAACTCGGGAGCAATATGATCAGCTCATGGCACTGCTAAAACCACAAACTCATCAATCCTTCATCCCTTCTGCAAATCACATTCAAACTTTATTCCAGCTCATTCTGATAATGATGAGATGCCAAAAGTTTCAGGTATATCTCTATGTCTATATGCCTTTAGCACTAAACTTCATGATCATTCAGTTGTACCTTGGATATTAGACACAGGGGCCACAGATCATATGATCTGCTCAACCTCTCTCTTTATCACAATAAAGTCTAAAGTTTCATTTTCAGTAGGTCTCCCAAATGGTAATGTTGTTCCTGTCACTCACATTGGGACGGTAAAATTTTCAAAATCTTTCATTTTGGATAATGTTCTTTGTGTTCCGTCGTTTTCTTTTAATCTGATATCAGCTAGAAAAATAACGAAGAACATGAATTGTTGCCTCATTTTTCTTCCTGATCGTTGTTTTATACAGGACCTTTTGACTTGGAAAATGACTGGAATTGGTGAAGTAAAGCAATGACTCTTATCACTTGATGCAAAACGAAGTGTCTCCTTTTGCCTTGACCAAGAAATTAGCCTATCTAACTCAAAAGACACCCATATCTGCTTCCTCTATTTTCAATAATGGTGAAGATTTCGATCTTTGGCACTGTAGGTTAGGACACTCCACCTATTCCAAGCTTAATTTACCAGAAGACACCACAAGATCCACCAAACAACCTTGCCTTATTTGTCCTTTAGCCAAACTACAAAAATTACCATTTCCTGTCAGCCAGCATAGATCAGAAAAATGTTTTGATTGCATATATTGTGACATTTGGGGACCATGTAATGAGATTAGTTATGATGGTTTTCGTTATTTTCCAGCTATTGTGGATGATTTTAGTAGATATACTTGGGTTTATATGTTGAAATTAAAATCTGATGCTGGCATTGTTTTGCAAAGTTTTTGCTCTATGATTGAAACATAATTTGAATGCAAAGTTAAAACTATTAGATCAGACAATGGAGATGAATTTGAGATGAAGAAATTTTATTCACAAAAGGGAATCATTCACCATAAAACTTGTGTAGAGACTCCTCAACAATATGCCATAGTTGAAAGAAAACATCAACACATTTTAAATGTGGTAAGAGCTTTAAAATTTCAAAGTGGCATCCCATTAAGATATTGGAGTGATTGTGTTCTCACGGAAGTTTATCTTATAAATAGAACCCCTATACCTCTTTTAGACCACAACACACCCTTTGAAATTCTTTTTCAAACCAAACCAGATTACACTTATCTTAGAGTTTTCGGATGCCTAACATTTGCTACTACCCTAGTAAGTGGAAGACATAAGTTTGATCCTAGAGCTAGGAGATGCATATTTTTGGGATACCCATTTGGAATCAAAGGATACAAATTAATGGATTTGGAAACAAAGAAGGTCTTTATCTCTAGGAATGTTATCTTTCCACGAGAGTGTGTTTCCTTGCAAGCAAAATGCTAGCATCGGTGCTGATTTTAGTCCAAATCCAACTTCAAAAACAGATTTCATTTATGAAATTCCTACTATCTCAAATCACATAGAAAACAACCCAAATCATTCTCTTATCAACACTTCAGGAAAAATGCAGTAACAGATCACTCAACAGACTTTGAATCTTCTTCATTAGAACAAAATCATGACTCATTTGAACCTGCAAATACATTTAGAATTGACAGTGAGCCATCCCAAAAACAAGTTGTACCTCAAAGGTCAAACAGAATCAAGAGAACCCCTACATATCTCAAGGATTTTGTCTGCCAACAGGTCACTTTGCTTCCCCATTCATAGGCTTTGGACAGGCAAAGGGTCACCGTTCCCTCAGGTAATCCCTATCCTCTTGAGAATAGTGTGTCATATGATAAACTCTCCACTCCCTACAAGGCTTTTGTTGTTTCTATCAGTACACACAAAGAACCAATGAAAGCTGAAATAAATGCTCTCGAATTAAATGATACTTGGCTAGTTGTTGATCTGCCATAGGGTGTAAGTGGGTTTATAAAATCAAATTCAATGCTAATGGGACCATAGAGAGATATAAAGCCAGGTCAGTGGCTAAGGGATACACATAGCAACAAGGACTCGACTATCATGAAACATTTTCTCCTGTGGTAAAACTAGTTAAGGTAAGGACTTTGTTGGCTTTGGTTGCTGTTAAAGGTTGGCACTTATACCAGTTTGATGTAAACAATGCATTTCTACATGGAGATTTAAAGGAAGAAGTTTACATGCAATTGCCTCCAAGTTGTTCCACTGCTAATGGGACAAAAGTTTGCAAATTGAAGAAAAACTTGTATGGCCTTAAACAATCATCTAGACAGTGGGATTCTAAGCTATCTAACTTCATTATTGAGAAAGGTTTTTCACAATCTAAGGTTGCTTATAGCTTATTTACAAGAGCTACAAAACATTCTTTTACTGCCATCCTCGCATATGTCGACGACATTATAGTGTTAAGCAACTGCATTGACTCTGTTAATGTTCTCAAGGATACCCTACATGAGAAATTCAAAATCAAGGACAACTGAAATACTTCCTTGGGATTGAAGTGGCTAGGTTAGATCGTGGCATCCACATATGCCAAAGAAAGTATGCCTTAGACATCTTGACAAATTCAGGCAAAATTGGGGCAGCACCAACTCGAATTTCGCTTGATCAGAATCTTAAGCTTTCTAAAGAGCAGGGTAAACTAATTCCTAACCCATTACTCTATAGAAGGCTAGTTGGAAGATTACTATATTTAACTATAACAAGATCGGATCTATCCTTTTCAATGCAACTATTAAGTTAATTCATGGATAACCCTAGATTACCAAACCTTAATGAAGCCTGCAAGGTTTTAAGGTATATCAAAAAGGCAACAGGACAAGGTTTGTTCTATTCTACTGAATCAAGCCTGCAGCTTATAGGTTACTCTGATTCAGATGGGGGAGCATGCCAGGACACAAGAAGGTCGGTCAGTGGTTATTGTGTGTTTATTGGGTCTTCTTTTGTAGCTTGGAAGTCAAAGAAACAAGGGGTCGTGTCCAGATCATCTACAGAGGCAGAATACCGAGCAATGGCTAACCTGTACTGTGAATTAACTTGGGTGAGATATTTACTTCATGACTTGCAGATTACACATCCTCAGGCTGCCGCTATGTTTTGTGATAACAAGGCAGTACTTCACATCGCATCGAACCCTGTCTTTCATGAAAGAACTAAACATATTGAGCTTGATTGCCGTCTCATCCATGACAAGATTCAAGATGGAAGCATAACCACCGATTATATTGGTAGTGGACTACAAGTTGCAGACCTCCTAAATAAGGCCTTAAGTTCTTCTGTTTTCTACTCTCATTTGCTCAAGATGGGAGTAGAAGATATCTACTCTCTACCTTGCGAGGGGCTATTAGAAAATAGAAATCAGCTGCTGGTGATTCAGGTTGGGAGTCAGCAAAGCACACACACTCCAGTACACATGGGCAACAAGCTGGACCATAGGTGGAAGAATAAATCTAGAAGGATTTAGCATCTTTTCTGTTATGTGGTTTTCCTTTTGTAACAGAGTTGTTTATATAGATTCTTTTTGCTCCCTGTTGTATAGGTTTTCCGTTAGGCTGGCACTCTTCTCATTCTATATATAGTGTGATCAACCTGTAAAGAAGTGAATATAGCAGACTCAATATCATGAGAAAATTCTCCCAAAACTCTTGCACTCTACCTGCTCGATAGTTTTCTTCTTTCATTTATTTCTTCTTTTCTTATACTTTCTAACAATCATTTTATTTTATTTTATTTCATTTCCATTTTTTTTTATGCAATCTGTGATGTATAGTGGAAACGAATTAAACTGGGTTTTGATGTTCAAACTGCATGCTATTAACATGTTATTTCCATAACGAAATATTAGTTCCTTTTTTTCTTATGATGACAATCAATGCAATACAGACCTTGTGTATGTTACCGAGTAACGTTAACATTTCAAACCTTACATTTCATCATTTGCATATCCATTTTTTATGCAATCTGCAATGTGTAGTGGAAGCTCATTTTACACTGGCTGCTGATGTTCAGACTACTCACTGTTTAACATTCTTATTAGTCTATTTCCATTTCTTTTTTTAATGCAATCTGCGATGTATAGTTGAAACAAATTACACTGGGTTTTGATGTTCAGACTGCATGTTATTTCCATGATGAAATATTAATTCTTCTACCTTACAATGACAGAATTATTCATTCATCATCCACCCCGAGAACCAATTCGGCGGCACTATAAATGTGTTCTATAAGAACGATGTGATAACAATATTGAAAACGAAAATGAACAATGTGCAGAAAGAGATGTTCAGAAATACGTGTTTTGGACACTTTCTTCAGATGAGTGAAATGCGAATACAACATCAAGTCATTCACAAGATGCTGATGTTGGAAATCAGGCAACCGAAAGAAGACGAAATATGGTTCGAACAAGAAGGGAAGATTCTAAGATTCTCAATTCAAATGTTTTGCATCATTAGCGGCTGAAATGTGGTCAGCTAATTATTTTGGTCATTTGTGCGCCTTTCTTTTTGTGCCAGCTTAGGTGATGTAGATCGAGTGGCCTATAATTTTATTGAGAAGTATGAGAGGAGGCTTGAGAAACAGGAATATTAATTTTTCCGTTATTTCTTTATTATGTCTGTCAAATTAAGTTTCCTTATTATGTTGTCTAAGTTTCTGTTATTAAATTATTCTATCACTTATTTTAGGTAAGTTGTCTGTTTAGGGTTTACTTAGTTTTCATATATATTTGCAGTCTTCTGTAGCCGCAGACAGTTTTCTGGAGTTATTATGTTATCAATAAAAACTCTCTGCAAGAGCTTTATTTGTTCCTGCAATTCCTAGTCCCGATTTCTAAGTTTGTGGAAGACTTGTGAATTTATTGTGTGCACAGATTCTGCTTCTGTTCTTTCCGCTGCATCATTAGGGATGGTCGTTGGTTGCTAGCTAAACTTTGAAGGGTTTTTTTGAGATTCTCTTGTTGCTGAAGATGTGTGATGCTTCTCATGTTTTAAATTATATACAATGTCAAGGAATGCATTTCTGATTTCCCAGATTTTTTCGTTATCTTTTGGTAATGTAAATGTTCATTATGTGATCTGATGTATTGCATACTTCATGGGATCTTGCACGTGAAATGGTACCAATTGAAGTGTCGATTGTGTCCAATTATATCGTATTGCACATGCAGCTGACATTTATGTTTTTAACCTCAATGAAATCTCCATTGGTCTATTTTTGTAGCATAATTAGTTTCGTCTAGTGTACTGGCATGTGCATTTTTCAAGATTGAGCATTCTTGCGACCATTGTCTTGACGACATCGAATCAAAGTTTTTTCTTTAAAAAAAAAAAAACATTTACACGTGTGACATTACCGTTGTAATGGAATCATTTTTTTTTCTTAAATATAGTTTATATGTGTGAAATTACCGTGTAAAAAACTTGTAATGTATGGCATTCTGAAAACATCAATACACAAATCCATTGCTATAAGCTCCCATAATAAACGGTAGGATATAGTAAGGTTATATGCCTTGACTCAATGGAGTATACTAATAGTGCACTCTAATGTTCACAGTACATCGAATTTGCAATATTTAAAGGTCTATTGTTCGCCATAGATCTGGTTCTATTTCCGACTTTACTATCGTATATAGTCAGAATGATATCTTGATTTTTACAGGTTCACGTTTGCATCACACGAGACTCCATAGTATTACAGATTCAGACCATCGAATTCCATTTTTTTAATATATAACACACGTCACATTCGCACATTCGAAATAAGATTGATGCAGGTAGATGTAATTTACTAATTTTGCATAGAGACGAACACATACTGACTAATTTTAATGTGGCAAAAAATATTCATGTTTCATTCATATTTACATTGATATTGTAACGAACGCATATTTTCACTTACAGGTTTTCCCAGTGATGATTAATCGTTTAGCAACCTCACAGCAAGAAGTTATATTTCACGTCCGGTGAATTGAGTGCGTTAAAGGAGCTGTCCGGCTAATAAAGCAGAAATCTGTAATGGGAAGGTGTTGTGTCACATTTATTCAATATACCATGTTTCGGAATTCACAATTCAAAATTTAATAGGCATCCAGCTGTAAATGTTTTTCCTTTAATATCATGCTGTCACGGTTACCATAAGTGTATATGGAAAGTTTAGGTTACAGTATATTTGGTGATTTTTCTAAATGTTCCACATGTAGTATTTTTTAAATTCTGGAATATTCATTTGTAATTATTTTAAATTTCTAATGCATTTGCGATGTTTTCCCATTTATGAATTGAATAAAACCAGCAAGGTAAGCAGGCTTTGCATGTTGGATTGAGTATTTGGGCCTAATTTTATTTTTAATTTTTTAAACAAGAACCCCAAAAGAAAAAGGTTCGCAACTTAAAAAAAAATTTGGCCCAAATCACTTGTGTTCATCTTCAACATCACTCACATTCTTCCGCCAAACTGTACCTACATTTCAACCTTAATCTTCAAGATTTGTCCATGACGACGCGGTGACTGTAGGTTCCGACAGAGCCAGCACGCAGGGTCGAGCCCTCTTGCTGGGTGCTAGCTCCACCACTGGTCTTGGTGGTGCAGGGGATGATGACATTTATAAGGTCATGCATAGTCCCAGAAGATTTTCTTGATTGTATTACAACTAGTCTTTGGAAAAAAAAAAAAATGATGGAAGAGAAGTATTTGAATGTATTTGGTCAATAGCTAACCCAGAAATCTTTGATCTACATGAATCCATGTTTTTACTTCAAAAATGGAAGGCAAATGGATTTTTCTAAAATGTGTTTAGAAATAAAAAACGAAAATTTTCATTTTTCATTGGACTCGAATGGAATATAAGATGCTAGTCTACATCCTTAGAGGACTAAACTCTTAGAAGAGGTCCACTATGAGAATTTCCCTCGTTAATTGGTGGACATTTGCACATTTGGGTTCACACGAAGCAAGGGTGTAAGCCTCTTGGATATGCAAAGACATAATAAGCATAGAGGTTTGTAGTTTTTTTATTTTTTATTTTTTTGGGTAATAACTAATCAAAGTTGAACGTGCATTGCATGTTATTCTGAAATACTTTCTATGTGTTGAAAGTAATTTTTGATATCAATTTATTTGGAGGATTTGATGAGTCTCAAATGAACTAAAAAAAGCATAAAATTTTGGATAGAAATTTAGGAGAATAAAATTGTGTTCTTGAAACTCAACTTCTATGATTCAAGTTTTTTATGATGATGAAATACCATAAATGAACAATGTTTTTATACTACAATTGATATATAAGAATAAATAGCTAATACGCAAAATTAATCACCAATTAAAAATTTCTAGATACGTGAATAGAAATAAATTCATCTATAATAACACGAAATTCATATATGACAAGAATTTTCTAGTATTTATTATATATTAAAAAAAATGAAAATTGGGATATTATTAAAATAATTGAATTGTAGCAAAATTAAAATCTTCCAAAAGATGATTCTTACTATATTTGGTATATTATAGATGTTTAACATAACAGTATCCACCATCAAACATACTATAGGTTGATATGACTTGATAGAATTCTCTTCTTTCTGGTTATTTAATAAATACAAATTAATCAACTTGTTAAACCAAAAAATAAATTAATAATAATATTGTGTAGCACTAGGGCTTAGTGGTGATCAACCGTGGTTTATGTAACAATTATATGTCATTGTCACATTAATTTTTTTTTTTAATCTATCTTACCTTTGTAGCTGTTATTGCTTTTGATTTGATTTGACTTGCACTTTTAAGTCAATGACTAAAAATCCCAAATTGAGTCGGAAACAATCGTGATTTACCAACAAGTAGCAAATTGCGATTAAGAGGGACTTTATGTCCTCAAATTCACTACAGCCGCGGCCTCAAATGCAATTTGAAGCTAGGGATAAGTCACTCAAATATTGAACAATTAGTCCCTCAATTTTTAAATTTTATCCAATTTACTCTTTTAAATTTTAGGGCCTACTTGGGAGATTTATTTTCACTGGTTTTGAGTGAAACCGTTTATGAGTGGTTGGAGAAACCATGTTGTTAGTTTTTTAGTAACGCCCAAAACCGGTGTAGTGTATTTTTGAGCGGTTCTTCCAACCGGCCAAATCGGCGGGTTTTGGCCATTTCTCTTGTTCTTTTCTTATTTTACCCTTTTATAAAATAATTATTTCCAACCAATATATTTTATTTAAAACTAAATTACAAATTAAAATAAATTAACTAAAAAAATAATTATAATTTAAAAAAATTATATTATAATTAAATTATTTATAAGTAAAAAATCACTTTTATGTAAAAAATTATTAAAAATAAAAATACTACTAATAAGATAAAAAATATTTGTAAAATGTAAAAAAGTTACTTATAAGAAAAAATTTCACTTAGATTTATTTAAAATTAAAAAAAAAATAAATAAATTTTGACTTATAATTGTAAAAGTTACTTATAAGAAAAAATATAAACTTAAAATTTTAAGTAAATATTAAAATTTATTTAAATTAATATTTAACTTATATGTGAAAAAAATTATTTATAAATAAAATATCACTTATAAGTAAAAAAATTCATATAAAAGAAAATTTTACTAAAGGACATATATGTGATCTTATTATTTTAAAAAACTTTCGGAACTGGCGGATAATAAACTCCCAGGTTTTAAAAATCTCTACTAAAATCACTCAAAACCGCTCCGCTCATAAATGCTCAAAATTGCTACTTTAAAAAACGCCCATAACCCGTACAACGAAACTCCCAAGCAGGCCCTTAACCTTGTTCATTTCAGCCGCTGAACTTCTAATGTGACCCAAATTGGTCCCCCAACCTTGGATTTCTTCAATTTTGATCCTTTAAATTCTGAGACTATTCAAGTTGATCCCAATGTTCTAATTTCATTTTTGATCCTCACGAGATTTTCCAAATGCCAAATATGATTCTCAGAAGTTGTGAATTTATAAAATTAATTATTCAAAGCTTACAATCAAATCCTCAACTTCCCGGTGGTTATAAAATCCACAATTGTTGCTCCAATTAAGCTCTAAACCTATCCGTTTTGGGTGATTCATCTTCAAGTCAGGGTATTTACCCTAAAAAAAAAAATATTAAAATAAGAAGGATTTTATCGAAGTAACATTTAAGTAACTTTAAGAGCCTAGATAAATGTGTGATATTCTCTTACGAGTTATATTATACAATCAATACATTCAAACACCTTCTAGGTTGTGTTAGACTAGATAAAAACCTAATAAAAATTTTACCCTTAAAATGTGGATGTGTGCATCTATTTGTCGGTAGTTTAGATGGGATCCATAAAACAAAAATCTTTGCTACTACATTTATAACAGTTCACAATGATGCTAACCAAATGTGAAAGTTCAATGCCCATTATTGCAGAAACACGAGATTACACTTGGAACCTCGAAGGGGTCCATTTATTTGACTATATTGACTAAAAGTTACAGCATTACTTTATTTCTTTGCTGACAAGAGAATAAAGGACGAAACTAAAGATACGTCAAGCATGCATCCATGCTTGCATTATTCAACACAACATTTTTAAATTAATTAAAGTAAGCAGTAATTGTTAATTTAAACATTGTTTCTTTTTGGCCTTTTTGCAGAACTGTTCGTTTTTCTTGAGTTTTGACATCCTGTAGCCATGGAGTCCTTTTAGTTTTTCAGGAAATCCTTCCACCACTTAGCTGAATTTTTAGGGTGTCTTTCCAATTCTTTCTCGTTCTTGAAGTTTACATAATGAACTCCAAATCTAACATTGTACCCTTGTGTCCATTCAAAATTATCAAAAAATGACCATTTGAAGTAACCTTTCAAGCGTACACCATCCCTGAAAATGAAAGACTAGTTGATTAGTTTCAAAATTTACAATTTTACTTCGAATTTAACTACAATATGTGATTAAAAAAAAAAAAAAAACAATGACGTACTCTATTGCCTTTCTAAGTTGGTTAAGATGGTCCTTGTGATACTTAACCCTTTTTTCATCTTTAACAGCCTCTGGAATTGTTAGTTCATCGTTTTTCAATTCATCCAGCCCTACAAGAGATTATAAAAGAATTCAACAAATCACTAAATGCTCTGAAAATTTAGTATTTGTAATGTATATTCTTGCTATATACATAAATAAACATGACTATATACCATTCTCTGTAATGAAAATCTCAGAATTATAATGTGTCTTTATATAAAGCATTATCTTGTAAATTCCCTCTGGAACTATGTACAACCATGACGAACCACCCTGACACGAAGTAAAAAAGATTTGTAATTACATTAGATTATACGTAAGCATCGAAAATAATGTAAACCATTATATCTATTTTAGTTCATTGTGCTCGTATATTAGGAGTCTATGACATAATCATATTTCACCAAAAATTGTTGATATGCCTAAATTGTTAGAATAATCCATTCCATTGTCTATATTCTTTTTCTAAATGACTCACCTTATCACCAATCGGCTTGCCATAGCGATCATGAGCTAAAAGAATGAAAAGTAAACATCTTGTTAGAAGTAGTGTCCATTTTTTGTCAAGGTAAAAAGTTATAACTGAACATGAGAAAAGGTCCCACTACTTACTCCTCTCATCAACATGCAGATCATTCTCAAAATGTGTTTTTGAAGAATCTCGAGGTACATTTTGGGCATAACGAGCCGTGTAATAATTTATGCCTAAGAAGTCACAGGAACCTTTCACTAGTGCAACCTCATCTCGTTTAAACTTGGGAAGACGTTCTCCTACATTGATTCTCATGGATGGTGGATAATCACCTGTTATTACAGGGGCTACAAACCTGAACAGGAGATGTGTTAAAATTAGAATTATTATCGATGTACTATATACCTGAACAAAAATATATCTATAATGTATTCTCTTAATAAGGCATAAACAAAAATGCATAAACAGGCTAAAGGATAAAAAGAATAGAAGAGAAGAAACTTCCGATAATGGATTCCAATTTAACGAACTTCCCAGGCACTAATTTCATTGGGAGATTCAGGAATTTATAGAGATGCAGAGTAATTGCTCGTGGTAAAGATAAACTGCTCTAGCACAAGTAACAATTACCATCCTAACAAAAAATCAAGTGCTCTCGAAGCAGCCTCGACATCCTCTTTGCTTTCTTCCTTAAAAGGATAATACCACATTGAAACGTTTGTCATCCCTATTTTGCCTTCTTGGCTTCCCTGTATGTACAGATGTATTAATATTTGTAAAATTTCAAAAGTGTGTATTTACCTATTTATTTTTGTACGTGTGTGAAATGTTAAAATAAAAACCTGATATTTTTTCCGGTATATATTAACCGCACGTGCATGAGCAAGGATCAAATTGTGTGCCACTATATATGGTTCTGTTCCCGGATCTCCTTTCGAGTCCAGAACTTGAGGGGATTGTGTCTTAGAAGTTAGAATGACCCGATCTCCTTTCGAGAAAGAAACTACTTCCTCTCTGACTGAATCTCCTTCAGAGGAAGTACTATCTTCAAAGGATGCAGTGTAAGGCACATTGAGTGCCTCAGCAATTACTTTTCTCGCTGCATTTCGTTCAGAGGAAGGAACGTTGTCCAAATTGTATGCGCTATCAACTAGTTCACTGATCGGATCTCTGGCCATATATCCTCTTGATGAAGGAAACAGAGGAACATTGATGCTGCTTCTATGCCTAAGGATCGAGGAACGACACATTCGTTCCAATGATTCTCGAGTGTGATCCAATGCCAATGCTCCAAGAGGATAACCTCGACGAGGGGGAAACCTTGGATGCACATATCCATAAAAAGTAAAGGACCATGGCTCATTAAGCGTGACCCAATGTTTCACTCGATTACCAAATTTCGAAAAGCATATTTCGGCGAACTCACAAAAATGTTCCCTATTATGGCAATGTGAAACAAGTTAAATATCAACATATATGTCTGTAAAAAACCCATAGATGGTAAAAAAAAAAAATAATAATAATAAAGAAAATAAAAAATTCACCTATGACTTTTATCTTCGTACAAGAGATCAATCTGCTTATTATTTTCCATTTTCTTTGAAGAAAAGATTTCTGCCTTTTCCTTTAATATATAGTGTTTGAGAAAATGACTTTGCTTAATTCATCTATTAAACATCTAGCACACGATGTTCCATGCGATGCAAGATCGATTACTTACACAATTTGATGATCTAAGAAGCCGCCATATATATCTTCCAATTTTTGGGGAACGTCCCAATGGAAGAGAGTTGCACAGGGCTTAATGCCTACACAAAATAAATGAAGAGAAATTGAGGTACATAATATCTTTAGATTTTATATTTTAATTTATAGGAGAAGGAATGATTTCAAAGGCATATCAATTTGAACTTCCAATCATGTACTAATTAAATAAAAAATGAGAATCATTTTCTTAAAGACACAATAAACACGTGAATTCAAAGAAGTCTAACCTTCTTTCACAAGTTCGTCTATAAGATTGTTATAGAATTGGATTCCTTCTTCGCTTATGTCATCGCATAGTCTACCACCTAAAATATCAATATAAATTTATACTCATATTAAGATAAAGAACTAATTTAGTGGTACATAATGGAGTGTACCTAAGGGTGTACACCCCCCTCACATGGAGTCTGGGGTCCACCCGAATAAGTGTTTTTTTATTCAGGTGAATCCCACACCCCATGTGAGAGGGGTGTACACGTTTAGGTACACCCCTATGTACCACTAACACCACTGTAAAATAAAGTCAAGAAACTTTTACTGATATCCAATATTGAGGAAATTGCTTGGTGAGGTCTCACATTAGAGACAACTTCTGGCTTTCTAAATACTTCTATTTTTCAAAATATTTTTACATTTGTTCTAACGATAACATTTTCTTGTCAAAAGTTTTTCTACAATTTTCTCTTCCTTTTCTCTATGTTCGACTTGAAAACTAGGCAAGGTTTATGAGGCTTTCGAGCCAATTTAGACTACCTAGTCAAACTTGTCAATGTAGACCATGAACTCTATATTGTCCAGAATCTTTTCAACTTTGCCTAGCCCTTTATAATCATTTAAAAAATTTTAAGCAGAAAACATCACTTTAGCTTAAAAATTAAATAATGTACAAACGCTACATCTTTGACGTTTCATTATTGAAGTGAAAAAAAAGAAAAAGAAAAAAAAAATTGTCTTTCTAAAATCATTTAAGCACAATCTGGTACCTGGTAAGATTCTGGACCATGAAATTGAAAATCTATAAGAATCCAAACCAACTTCCTTCATCAAAGCCACATCGTCCTGCAACATTATTGACAGTGAGTACAATATACATTCAAAAATATTATTCTTGGTGGCTTAAATTAGAATACAATCAATTTTAATTGATTTTTTTCTTTCTTGTTTCTTCCACTTTTTTAAAAATTGAACTTTTTGACTTCAAGTGCCAACAAAGTATCAACTCATTTTGAATGCTATGTTCCAGTTAATAGCATTTTTCTTTTCATTAATGGATCAAAAGAGTTATTTAATTCATTTACAGCTATTAGTTCAATTCATTTTTCACTTACTTAAATATTGTAAGGGATCAGATGAGCCTCGCTTAATGCTTGAATAGATATAGAATTTTGATACGGTAATATAAATGAATTAACATCACTATCTGCTACGAAAAATTAAATAGCTGAGCGCATTTACCTTGAACTTGTTATAGTGATCGATTGCCACTTGTCCACTTGAACGATCCGCAATGCTATCTGCCACACAGACATTTTAAATTAGGAGGGCACACTCAAACCTTGTATAGATCGAATACTTTATTCTTAATTTTTGAATGATTCATACTTGACTCGAAAAAATAAGATTTACGTTTAAAAAAATCCCTTCATTAATATTTTGGTCATCATTTTCATTTATTTGATTTCAAACCGTCATTTTATTAATATTTTGCTCATCACAAAAGAATATATATTTATGTTTAAAAAATTTATAATGTATTTGAAATTTTGATGCAAGCAATCAATTAAAACGATTAATTCAAATAGTCGAAAAGAAAAACTATTTAACAAATATTCAATACTAAAAATCAATCAAATAAACAGAATTCATTAAATATAAGTAAAATTGGACATAATCATTTCAGACCCGTTCTGTATACACAATTTGATAGAAAAAATAATCTATAGCATTTAATTAATTGAAAAATTGATTGGGAAGTGAAGAATTGTAATATATGTGATAATCTATAGAAAAATTATCGATAAATGTTTAAAAAATTAGAAGTTAAGAATTTGATAAAAGGCATGAGGGAGAAAGTAGCTAAAGAGAAAGATAAAGGAAAAAAGTTCAAATCTATTATGATTTTGCCTCCGTTTGGTAGAGATTAAAATCAGATTTTTAATAAATTTTGATAAAAGTTAAAAAGTTGTGGATTTCATGAAATATTCTATTAAAATTAATTGTTAACTTTGATTCATATTAAAATTTAAATTTTAATTCATACCAAACATGACTTTAAAAAAAAATAAAAAAAATCCCAAAAAAAAACCCCAGGACCCCGTCTCCACCACTGAATGTACATGTGTGTGCGTGTAAATTAATATGTTCTATCTTAAAATGAAAACTTTGGTAAAAAGAGTTACACAAGCCTTCTTTTGTTGATTGATATATTTAACTTATAAGAGATTATACACTTAACATGCCTCAGCAGGATAATGACTTGTTAAAAAACATCAATCCTTGAATTCGAACGCTTGTTTGAATTTGAGATGGATCAAGTTACTTTTTTGAGCTTGTTGGACGATGATAAAATAATGAGAATGGAGATTTCATCTCAAATGCACAACCTAATATATAGGAGTAGCTGAGATCTTTTATGTTAATTTATATTTTATATTTACTGATTTTAAACACACAAGACTAGAAAGAGAGAGATTGAAGAGACCAGGATGCTTTTCTGTCATATCATCCCAATTACTCGGGCCTTTACCATCTACATTCCAAGCACCTTCTACCTGAAATAAATTATACATCCACAAATTAAGAACTCAAGAAAGTTAAATTGCATGTGATGGACCGTCTAACATATACATTCCCACATGATCGTTTCAGCAAATCTTCATTATTCTAAACTATAATGGATTCTTTTATAAGGTACATTTAATAGTATTTCACATTATTAACGAATAGTACGGTTTGCCCATTTTTCTGTGCAAATATACAACATACTAAAACATACCAATTACTCACTTGATATGCCAGTGTTAGCACCGAAAACTTGAAAAATCAGTTGCAAACCTGATATGCCGATGTTGCACCACCAAATATAAAATCCTTGGGGAAATCAGAGCGTTTGATCTCGGTTTGGGATGTAGCCATTTGAATGAGCAGGATGAGATATTATAGTCAGTTGGGAGAGGTGTGTGGTTCCTCTTGTCCATTCACTCTATTTATAGACTATGAGTTTCAAATACTTGTATCATACTATTAGACAACAAGCATAAAGTAAGTACAATATATTGGGAAAGGTATCAATACTTTTCTTAAAGGTTGAACTCCAACCTTGAAGGCCCCCATCGCCTCGCCTCTAGAGCTTTGTGAGGGAGGTAAATCGCAGGATGTGCCCCAACAGATCAGGAAACAAGAGCTGCCTGTACACTGTGCCTATAAAGAGTTCAATTCCATGTCTTAGGAATCGAACCCCCACACTGCAACTGCCAGCAAGACGTGAGATAATCTCTCTCCGGTCATTTACACCACTAGGCTATGCTCCAGGGGGCATATTCATACTTTTCTTTATTCTACTTAAAGTAAATACAAGTATATGTAAACCTTTAAGTAATTCTTTACTTCCTTCTCATTACATCTCAAGACATTTCTTTGATTCTGCACCTTTAAGTCATTCTTTACTTCATTCTCATTAAATCTAAAGACATTTCTTTGATTATCCATATTATACCTCTTGAGTTAATTACGATTTTTGTGTCTAGATATTTTTCTATTTGGGTTACTATTAGTAAGAATAACTCTTAAGTTTGTAAGGGACAAAATAAAAAACTTAATTAATACAACTTTTTATTAATTTAATTGGCAACACAAAGGGGGAGCAATCAAAGTCAAATTTTTTATCTAATTGCTGAGATGTATTGGATCTGTAATTATTGAATTAAACGTGCGATTTCACTTGTTTAGTGGAGCAGTTTTCGAAATTAATATTCAAGCCCGAGTTTAAAATAAGATGATTTGGAGCTTGAATTGTGTCAAGTCATTGGCTTTGATGAAGCCACACTATTGGGTTGATAGAAGGATGAGATTCATAATAAGATGACAAACCTCATGGGATATAATTAAGATGATTACTTTTGTACTTTAAGATGATTTCAATCTCCGTAATCTTATTTCTTTAGATTTGCACGGTAAATACTTACTCTTAAATCCAATTAATACACTGACATGAGGACACACCACTTTGTTAGTAAAGATAGGAGAGACGCTCCAGGTATACCAAGGGTATAGTAATTTCAACATTGTCATGGATAAATCAGTAAATGACGAAATCCTTGGACAACCAGCCATGAAGCATGCAAATATAATCATCTTCCTCCATCAATTGCATGTGAGGTATTCCATGAATAAAGGTGAAATGTTCTTAAAGTATAATCAAAGAAACCTGCTTACGAACCACAAAATTAATAAAAAATGAGACATGAAAGCTTTTCCGTTAGCTCAGCAGATGCAAGTAAAGCTTTAAAAATTGGCAAGGAATTGAGTGAACCCATAAAAGGATTGTTAAAAAACATCCTAGTTGCTAACCTAGGTATAGTCCCTTGGAAACGTGCTGAAATTATGAGGATAGATCCCAAAGTTGCTTCAATTGCATGTGAGGTACTCCATGAATAAAGGTGAAATGTTCTTAAAGTATAATCAAAGAAACCTGCTTATGAACCACAAAAGTAATAAAAAATGAGACATGAAAGCTTTTCCGTTAGCTCAGCAGATGCGAGTAAAGCTTTAAAAATTGGCAAGGAATTGAGTGAACCCATAAAAGGATTGTTAAAAACATCCTAGTTGCTAACCTAGGTATATTCCCTTGGAAACGTGCTGACATTATGAGGGTAGATCCCAAAGTCGTTTCTATGCAAAAATTAAGCCTAAGATGCAAAGCTGGATGGAAAAAAAAAAAAAACCTCTAAAAAAAACCTAATTTAAAAAAAATAAAAAAATAAAATTATAATAACACCTAGAATCCTAGTCTAAAAGGAAACTAATAATAAACCACTAATTAACATCCAAATTAACTTAAAGATATTAAAAATATTAGAATACTAATCAAATAAGGGGACAACTATTAAAGGATCACCCAAACTGTCGGCCATAGGGGTGGGCACGGGTCGAGTCGGTTCGGTTCTGAACCGAAATTTTTGGGTATCTAGTAAATGGAACCGTCGGGTCCAAATATAATTATGGAACCGTTCGGGTTCGGTTCCGTTCAGTGCGGTTTGGTTCCATTCGGTTCCGTACTATAATTAAATTTTTTAATATCTATAAAAACACTATATAAATACAACTAATGACATATTCAAACATAGTTTTACAAATTAACATAGTCAAATTTAATAACATGTAAATAACAAGTTGTCCAACAACATTAATTTACAAATACCAAAGAGTAGAATGAGTAGATACTCATACTAAACTTCAACTATCCATCAATTACTTGACTTATCATACTCACTATTAAGAAACTCTGCAAGAAAAAAATTGAAAAAGCACAATTAACTTGTTAACAATCATAAATAAATTCAAATGTGTTCAACTAATAAGATTTAATAGTGTGTGTGTGTGTGTGTATTATTACTTGTCTCAATGCTCTCATAGAACTTCGTCTCTTCAATGCAAACTCTATCTTGAGAAACTTTCAAAAGTCTAGATTCTTCCCTTAGCCAATTTTGTGTACAAATCAAGGCCTCAACTGTTTTAGGAGTTAAAGAACTCCTAAATGGATCAAGAATACGCCCTCCAGTACTAAATGCTGACTCAGAAGCAACTGTAGATACAGGAATGACAAGAACATCCCTTGCAACCTCAGATAAAATTTCAAATATTGATTTATTGATCTTCCACCAATTCAAAATGTCAAAATTTTCATCACTAGCATCTTCAGTGGATTCCATTAGATATCGTTGTACCTCATCTTTTCCAGAAAAATCCATTTTGGTAGTTTTCAATTTCTTGTACCAAAAATCAAAATTGCAATCATCCCAATCATCATCATCATTCAAGTCCTCCAACAAAGTGACTCCATCATTAGATTCATCACCCCCATTTCCGCTTCCACTCGGTCCATTGTTTGATCGTTGCCATCCCTTTTGTTGGTTATATAAAGCATACAGTAATTTCATGACCTCGTTTTTTGTAGCTTCAACTTTAACACTGTCATACAAAATACCAATGCAATGTACAACAAACTCCAACTTATACCTAGGATCAAGCACGACTGCTACAATCAAAATCTTATTCATTTTATCAACTTTACCCCAATACTTGTCAAACTTAATTTTCATGCTATTTGCTATACTACTTAGCAAATAATTTCGCTTCTCACCCATTTTCTTCAAAATTTGCTCAATTTTACAAACTTCATGGAAGTAAATATTGGAAGTAACACTCAATGAAGCACTAAACTTCAATGTGACATCATAAAAGGTTCTTAGAAACTTGACAAATTTTCTAGCTTTCTCCCAATCATAACTTGTAGGTGGCCCCTCTTTTTCTTTTCCACCTTCATTTTCATCAAAATATTTACAATAAAATCCGTCCTTTTCCTCCATTCTTTCAAAAGCTTTTTCAAAATTCAATGCACTATCCAACATTAAGAATGTTGAATTCCATCTAGTAGGAACATCTAAAATAGCAAGTTTTGTGCTTGCAATCTTTTCCCTTTCAATACAACATTTAAATTTTGTCAACCAAGAAGGAGATGATCGAAAATATTTTACCGCATTGTGAATACTATCTATAGATGGATTAAACTCTTTCAACCCTTCTTTAACAATCAAATTGATTATGTGTGATGTACAACGTACATGCAGATAAGAGCTACCTAAAATCATAGTATCATCAGGTTTCCTATTCTTCAACTTGTTTTTCACATAAACGATCGCTGCATCATTTGTGTTTGCATTATCTACAGTAATGGTACCCACACACTCTATTCCCCAATCAAGCAGACACGTCTCAATAATCTTCACAATTGTCTCCCTTTTATGATTTGGAACCACAGAAAAACTTAATATCCTCTTATGCAATTTCCAAGTTCTATCAATAAAGTGTGCTGTGACTACCATATAATTGATGTCCAACAATCAGTGGTTAAAGAAATCCTTTAACTATCCTTAATAAATTTAATCCTCAATGATTCCTTCATCAATGACTTTTCGTCCATCTCCCTTCTCCATTAAAACAGAACATTCTTCCAAGAATATAGCATACAAATATTCTAAACCAAATGTGATCCACATATGTCAAATGCAAAAGCTACCACAAAAAATAAAGACACCCAAACTGAAAATAAAACATCCAAATTCAACGACTACTGGACTGAAAAGTGAAAATGAACGGCACCGACGCACCGTGAAAGAACTCACCAAAATTCGAAATCAGGAAGGCAGCAAACAAAATCGGACTGTCTGAGAACTCAGGATAAGTGATTGTATGGGTTTTCTAGGACGGCAACAATAATTGTACGAAGACGTTGAGCTGTAGAGCGCAGAGACGGAGGCTAATGGTTATGCAATCTTTAGGTTGTATCAAGGATTCAAGATTCAAGAGTAGGGTTATTTTACTTATTTAGTTGGACTTGGGTAGTTGTATCATGTTGATTGTTGGGCCAAAAATTATAAAAATTAGAAATCAAACAATAAAATGGGTTTGGCCAAAAGCTAAAAAATTAGAAATGAAATAATTATTGGGCCAAAATTGTTTTTTAGAAATTGTTAATTTGTTTGAAAAAAATTAAAATAAAAAACATTTTATTTCTTCAATAAAAAAAAAAAGTTAGAAAGATTCAGTTCTCATTCGGTTCTTCGGTTCTTGGTACAGAATCGAGAATCGAATTGTACCCGTCGGTTCTCAATTCAGATACTCGTCCAGATATTTAATTCGACAAGAACCGTCGGGTTCGATTTAGTTCGGTTCGAGTTCGATTCGGTCGGTTCGGTTCGAGAGATTTCCCCAGCCCTAGTCGGCCATATAGAATTATGTCAATTTGGTAACTAGCGCCCAATTGAAACTTTCCGCCTTTGGTATAACTGTGCAATTTTGGAATAAAATCTACTTCGGACTCCTCTGTGCGACGACACTGTTACCTGTATTGCGGTCGCATGGTTCACATGTTGAGCCTCCAAATTTTCCCTGCCATGTTTGGTGAGACCGCAAGTCTTGGAGAGCTATGCGGTCGCATAGCTCTTGGTTTTTGGCTGTACTTTCGGCTGGAATTAACAAGCTGTTCCCAATTGATTTGGAGCTCGGTTCCTTCTTCAAACTTACTCCTTGACTTGTGAAATTCATGGTTTTGGATCCCGTTGATTGAATATATAAGTGACTAGCATTATTAGCTCCTTTGAAGTCTCGACTTGACTCAAGTCCTTCAACGTTTACACCCACATATCTCCAACCGGTTTTACCATTCATGCCCAGCATGAATTGTGACATTTGGCTCAATAACTTCAACATCTTGAATTCCATAGCTTGATCTGGAGTTTTGCCAGCTTGATTAACCCCAATTGGCCTCCAAATGAACGAGAACTTTGGTATCGATCGACCTCCAGCAATCGCCAAATAATTGATAATTAGTGGCGTAACCCAATTTATATCAGGACAGCTCTCCTCTCCCCGGAATTGATCGGCTAGTAGATGCCACTGCGGGACATGAACTGTTATTGACCTGACAAGGAATATACCGCATTTGTAATAGATCAGGGACTATACTATTTAATATTATGTCATTTGAACTAAAGAATATTGGGACTGTGTGCCAAAGATCAGTGAAAAGAACGTTCCTAGATCGAATAGAAAAATGGTGAAAGTATACATTGATGACATACATGTGAAAGACCTTCAGGTTGGAGACTGTTTAAAACATCTAGAAGAGGCTTTCAACATATTAGGACAATAAAAGATGAAACCTTATCCGTTGAAATACTCCTTCGGAGTTGAATCTGATAAAGTTCCACACTTACATGTCAATCGGCGAGGTATAGAAGCGAACCCCGACAAAATTTAGGCCCTCATAAAAATACGTCCCCATCTAAATCAAAGGAGGTACAAAACCTAAAGGGAAGGAATCTTCACAAATCAATTTCTAATTGCACAAGGCACATTCCAGATTTTAAGCCAGAGTTTAAGACTCATTTTTGGAATAGTAAAAGTTCGAATTAGAAAAATTCTTCTATAAGAATTATAGCCCTTTGAGTTAGCATTCCAACACATTATAAATCACCTTAATTGGATATTGGAAGAGAAGGTTATATCCAAAATATTGATGACTAAGCAGAGACATAATCATGCGTGCACAAAAGACAGTTTTCATATGTGATTGCAACTCTTTTGGGAGCCAATTTGGACATGACTTTTGGCCTAATTTTGCCATATAGAATACATAACATAAGCATCAATTAAAAGATCTCTCTCTTAACTTTCAAATTACATCCCTATCAAAAAATCATTTAAGAATGGTGGGTAAATTCAATATAAGTTGGAGAGTAGAATAAATCTTGTAAGAAATTGAATCAAGACCCATCAAAAACTTGAAGAATCAAATTTTGAGGTTGATAATTAAGAACAAGAATTGGACCGTGACAATTTTTTATTTTTTTTTGTATTTATAAATTTCAGGTGATGTTCTTCCATTCTTCTTATTGTTTTATCATTAGAAACATAGTTAGCTAGATTTCTTTGTGTTGAATGAAATTGAACTTTATTATTATTTATTTTAAATTCAAGTACCGAGTTATTTAGTAATTTTTTTCGTGATTGATCTCATATGCCTGCTGCATTATTTGATTACTTGATCACCAATTAAATAATTAATTACTTGTTGTAGTGGTGGGATGCTCACAATAGTTTTAGAAAACTAAAATTTCAACACACTGGCGATAGATGTTAGGAATAGCATGTATGTCATATGAAATCTTGTTGACAATCAAGTGACTGAATAAGTGTTATGCATATAAATTTGGAATAGGAAGAGGATTTGGTCGTGTTTAGGATATAATTAACTTATCTTGGAAAATAAAGTTAAATAAAATTGAATTACTGATTGTCATGTATGCACAAATTATGTTAAAATATATATGTAGAGAATTGAAAATAAAATAATAATAGGTGAATTAGAATTCCAACACATACAACCCATATTTAATTAGAAACAATTGTAGATAACTAGTAGATAATTTAGCTTTAATCAAAACATCCCTTTTGTTATTTACTTTCGAATTTGATAGCGAGTTGATAAATGTCAATATAACGCTTATTTCTCGTTGGACGATACTCTTAATTTACTTAATACATTACTTGTCAACGACCACGTATACTTGCGGAGTTTTGTCTGAACGAGTCTTTGGAGCTGTTGCGCAAGAATAAAGTTTTTAAATTCAATTTATTAATTTGAACTGGATTTATTTTATTATTTTGTTAATTTTAGCTATACATTCTGATCTCTCTTGTGTTTGGTGGTTTTTAGATACTATTCAATAGTATATGTATGATTCTAACAATTACAAGGGAGTAAAATAGTTGTAATAAGCAATCTCGACATGGATGATAATAATATGCTTGTAGAAGATATTTATTGTGATCTTTTTTTATAAGATGCATTATACTAAGCACTGTTTATATACATGCCAGACTCTTGCAAGTTAAAGCTTCTGTAGTTTATACAATATCTAAGATGTCTAAAACAAGTAATTGACAAATCTAATGAAATCTACATGATTGTGGGAGATTATGCATCTATTGATTGTGATGAGGATATCATACTTGTGGGAGATGGTCCTCCTTTGTCAAAGAAAAAAGTACTTACAGAATATTTTAATAAACGTACCAAGTCGGATGATAGCAACATGCATGTGGGAGATGGGATATACCGGCTTTAATTTAAGAAGAAGGGACATAATTCACTTGAAATGGTTGAAAATAAAGAGTTATCACTGCCCATGGATTTAGACTGGGAACCGACTATTCAACCCTAAGGAACGTCAACTATTAAAAAGAGCATAAAGAGAATGATAAATTATTCACAAAGGAACTAAACAAATAAGTGATAATTAATGAAGATAAAATTAACAAACATTCTTTTGACTTCATCGATTTCCCAACAATTGAATTTATGATTAAGTTTGAGGAGGAGGTACAAGTATACATAGTTGATTTTGAAATGGATAGAATAGGCAAGTCTTATCACATTGAAATAGGTAGTGTTTTATTTGGAGAATCAACGAAAAGTGGATCAAAGTCAAAAGAAGCAAACTGTGCAAGGCATTATAGGCTTTCTTTAGAATTTCATGATACAGGTTGCCAAAGTCAAGCTAATGACTACAAACAAGCGTTTATTGGGAAGCGACCTGATTTTCTTCCCTTTTATTTATTATAGTTTCTAAAATAATAGGTTGAGTTATTCCATTTTACGAGATTATTTTACTAGAATCAAATCGCCAAAATGAGTTGGCAAATTGTGATTGGATGGTTGAAAAATATTTTTGGCCCAACTACCCATGAAATGCCGCTAGATGTTAATGTGGGTCAATTCTAGTAAAATCAATCTAGTAATGTAGTATAACTCTAATAGGTTAGATATTTTTTTATTGATTTTGTGTGTTAGTTAGTAATTTAAGTATCTTCATCCCTATATTGTCCTATAGATTGTGTTTGAGCTTATTATAAATTATTTCATATTATTATGATTGATTTCTCTTTATTATGTAGGAACATGACAATTGAAAATGTAATAACTAACAATGGATAAGGAAAATATTAATTGATATTTATCGATGTGAATTTTGACACTCTTTAAGTTTAGCATTATAAAGGAATGAATTGATTCATATTTGATAGGTTGAAAATAATGGACCTTAGATGTTGAACAAAAAATTCAGTATAATATATATCCTTAAACAAATTTTAGGATGGTTTAGAGGTGATTGAACTATTGTAGGAAGATATTGAGATGAATCGGGATTTTATGTGTACAAACTCTTATGTGAATTGTCTAAGGCCAATAATATGAAAAGTAGGTTAAAATCTTGAGTTAAAGACTGATTTATGAGAATGAGGGTTTAATAAGGGGTAT